GGGGGGGGGGGGTTAACTAGAAACCAAAAAGGAAAGAGAGCTTTTTATCACACCCTAAAACACAAAGGACCACCACAAAACTACCTATCTTAGTCTTTCTTTTTCTCTCTCTCGTGAATATAGTTACTTCATTTTCCATCCACCTTGTAACACATGAATATCTAACAATAATCCCAAAAACTCAAGATTCATTCATGAAAACCTGTATTCTACTACCTAAAATTCACACCTTTTCTCTAACTATTCTCAAACTAAACATTTGTTTTCTTCTCTTGTTGTAGGCACTAAAAAAAAAAAAACATATGAAAATGTGGTTTTTTTCTTGTCCTTCTTGTTTTTTTATCTTCATATTTCATGTTGGTTTATTGTATGGATCTTTAGCTATTGAAACTTTACAACTTAATGATGATGTTTTAGGCCTCATTGTATTCAAATCAACTCTTCTTGATCCTAACTCAAAACTCTTATCTTGGAATGAAGATGATAACTCTCCTTGTGCATGGGAATTCATCAAATGTAATCCAATGAATGGTAGAGTTTCTGAACTTAACTTAAATGGTTTAAGTTTATCAGGAAAGATCGGTAGGGGGCTCGAGAAGTTGCAGTCATTACAGGTATTATCTTTATCAAACAACAACTTAACTGGTCCTATTAGCCCTGAGTTAACTTTGTTAACAAATCTTGAAAATCTTAACCTTAGTCAAAATGGCCTATCAGGAAATATTCCTCCATCTATTTCAAAAATGACCTCCTTACAATTTCTTGATCTCTCTCAAAATTCGTTATCTGGACCTGTCTCTGATACTATGTTTGATAACTGTGGTAATTCGCTACGTTATCTTTCTTTATCTGGGAATTTTCTTGAAGGTGCATTTCCAACCACAGTTTCCAAATGTAACTATTTGAATCATCTCAATCTTTCAAGAAACCATTTTTCTGGCGACCCGGGATTTTCCGGAGGACTCTGGGGATTGACAAGGCTAAGAACATTAGATCTTTCACATAATGAACTCTCTGGATTAGTACCTGTTGGTATTTCAGTGTTACATCAGTTGAAAGAGTTGTTGTTACAAGGGAATCAATTTAATGGAATGTTACCTTCTGATATTGGATATTGTCCACACATGAAAAGATTAGATTTGAGTGAAAATCTATTCACAGGAGAAATCCCAGAGTCAGTACAAAAGCTTAATGCTCTTTCTTTTCTAAGCTTATCAAACAATATGATAAATGGAGATTTCCCTCAATGGATAAGTAACATGAGCAGTTTGGAATACTTAGATTTTTCAGGCAATAGTTTAGAAGGGACATTGCCTGATTCAATAGGGGACTTGAAAATGTTGAAATACTTGAGTTTATCTGGTAATAAATTGAGTGGAAACATTCCAAAATCTATGGTTTATTGTACTAGTTTATCGACGATTCGACTAAAAGAAAATGCATTGACTGGTAGCATTCCTGAGGGACTGTTTGGTATAGGATTAGAAGAAGCAGATTTTTCAAGAAATGAGTTGAGTGGTTCAATTCCTCCTGGTTCTGGCAAATTCTTTGAATCAATTCAAGTTCTTGATTTATCAGGAAACAATCTTACTGGAAATATTCCAGCTGAAGTTGGACTTTTTTCCAAGTTGAGATATTTGAATATTTCTTGGAATAATTTTCAATCAAGATTGCCTCCTGAAGTTGGATACATTCAGAATCTAACGGTGTTAGATCTTCGACACAGTGCTTTAGTTGGATCAATTCCTGGTGATATATGTGATTCTGGTAGCTTAGGAATTCTTCAGCTTGATGGAAATTCATTTACTGGACCCATTCCTGATGAGATTGGAAATTGTTCATCCCTCTACTTATTGTAAGTACAATTTTCTGATTTCTCTTATTTTATTATTCAGTACTGGGGAGCCTTGGCGTAACTGGTAAAGTTATTGCCATGTGACCAGGAGGTCACAAGTTCGAGCCGTGGAAACAGTCTCTTGCAGAAATGCAGGGTAAGGCTGCGTACGATAGACCTTTGTGGTCCGGCCCTTCCCTGGACCTCGCGCAGCGGCAGCTTAGTACACCGGGCCGCCCTTTTATTACTGTCAAATGAATGTCCTAGCCTTTATAGTTTCACTTTGCTTTCTTTATTTTACTATAGTCTTGAACTGAATGTCAAAATTTGTTAAAATTGCAGGAGTTTGTCTCATAATAACTTAAGTGGCTCAATACCAAGGTCTCTTTCAATGTTGATGAAGCTCAAGATATTGAAGCTAGAGTATAACCAATTGAGTGGTGAAATACCACAAGAACTTGGCAAATTGGAAAATCTTCTGGCTGTTAATATATCCTACAACAGGCTCGTTGGACGGCTTCCATTAGGTAATATATTTCAGAATTTAGACCAGAGTTCATTGGAAGGGAATTTGGGCATTTGTTCACCTTTGTTGAAAGGTCCTTGTAAGATGAATGTGCCAAAGCCTTTGGTTCTTGATCCTTATGCTTATGGAAACCAAATGGGAGGTCAAAACCGAGGCGATGAAACTTCAAGAAGCAATAGCAAAAGGTTCAAACACCATAGATTCCTTAGTATTTCATCCATTGTTGCAATCTCTGCTGCAGCTGTGATCGCGGTTGGAGTAATGGTGATAGCCTTACTAAATGCTTCTGTTCGAAGGAAGATTGCGTTTGTTGACAACGCCTTGGAAAGTATGTGCTCAAGTTCTTCTAAATCCGGGAGCTTAGCAACTGGAAAGCTAGTGTTATTGAACACCAAATCGTCCCCGGATTGGACTAATAACAGTCTTGAATCTGTCCTAAACAAGGCATGTGAAATCGGTGAAGGTGTTTTCGGGACAGTTTACAAGGCTCCATTGGGAGGGGAAGGAAGATTAGTAGCTATCAAGAAGCTTGTGACATCAAAGATACTCCAATACCCTGAGGACTTCGATAGAGAAGTCCGAGTTTTAGCAAAAGCAAGGCATCAAAATCTGATATCCTTAAAAGGGTATTACTGGACTCCTCAACTTCAGCTTTTAGTATCAGATTATGCACCAGAAGGAAGTTTACAGGCCAAACTACACGAAAGGCCATCATCTTCACCTCCACTATCTTGGTCCACTCGATTCAAGATTGTGCTCGGTACAGCCAAGGGACTAGCACATTTGCACCACGCGTTTAGGCCAGCAATCATTCACTACAACATAAAGCCTAGCAACATCCTCCTTGACGAGAATCTCAACCCGAAAATATCAGATTTCGGGCTAGCAAGGCTCGTGACAAAGCTCGATAAACACATGATAAGCAACAGGTTCCAGAGTGCACTAGGCTATGTAGCACCTGAATTGGCATGTCAGAGCTTAAGGGTGAACGAAAAGTGTGATGTTTATGGTTTTGGGATGTTGATTCTTGAAATTGTGACAGGGAGAAGGCCAATTGAGTATTGTGAAGACAATGTGTTGATACTCAATGATCATGTGAGAGTGTTGCTTGAACAAGGGAATGTGTTAGATTGTGTTGATCCAACATTGGATACATATCCTGAAGAGGAAGTTTTGCCTATTCTGAAATTGGCTTTGGTATGCACTTCTCAAATACCATCAAGTAGGCCTTCAATGGCTGAAGTGGTTCAAATCTTGCAGGTCATCAAAACACCTGTTCCTCAAAGAATGGAAGCATACTAAACATGTCACAAACTTCATTGTCTTTTTATTTTGTCTCCTATAAATCCTATTATTATTATCTTAAGCTCCTAATTTGGTTATTTTGTTACTAGATAGTGATAGAGAGTTTGGTACTTCTCTATCATTTGTATGAAAAATATGGCAGGGTGCAGTAACTTCAATCTTGTTTGTTCCATTTTCTTGAATTTATCCTGATAAAGTTTATGGGTTTTCGATTTTCTGAAAATAATTTTGGTAGTTAATAGGAGGGTGTGGAGGTCGAGGATTAAGGTACAAGGATAGTGGATAATTTTTAGTTGTTAACTGATAGTCTTAGTAGCATGCATGTCCCTTCATATTCTTAGATTTTTATTATGTTATGTGGTTTTGTTCGCCTCAGGTATTGTGTTCCCCGTTGATCTTATTTGGTACTACTTATCATTTATCTCTCCCTTTTTCTTTTCTCTTCCTTATTTCTTCCTTCCTGCTTTCCTCTTCTTCTTCTTGCCCTTCCTGAGCCGAAGGTCTATTGGAAACAGTCTCTCTACCTACATTAGGTAGGGGTAAGGTCTGCGTACAGACTACCCTCCCCATACCCCCATTTACTGATTTGTTGCTCATACAAAAAGGTATCCACGTTGCAAGTAACTTGTTATGTTTGTATTTGTTCTTTTATACCTACTAGTATATATCAACGTGCGTTGCACGTTAATAATGACACGTGATGATTTAAATATTTTATATGAAGGAACAATAAAATTTAATTAATTAGAGATACTTTATGTATATTAATACACAATTATCTAAATGCGAAAAATATTATTACATTAGCATAATACATGAATTTAAAATAAAAGGACATCATCAAAACTTATACAAATGATCAATTTTGTCATGTTAGTTAGATAATTATGTATTATAGTTTAAAAGTATTTAATGTGATGGTATCTTAACCAACACTTCTTTGTGGACAATATTTTTGTGTGTATGTTTCCTCATAATGCTTTCGTTGCTCTGCCTTAACCATAACTTTTGTTGTCGATCTTGATATGCCTCTTAAAACATACAGTTATTCATGTAAGAAAACATATTGCGGTAAATATAATCCAATATTTAAGATGTTTGTCCTTGTATTTTATCTATTATATTTGCAAAACATAAACATACTAAAATTATTTTAACACAAATTTAAAAGGATATTCCTTAGTTTCGAAAGATGAAAGTTGATTTCAGGAATAAGATTATACTTAGAAGCACATTGACCAGTATCATAATTTTTTGCATGTATGACATTATTGTCAAAAATTTTATATACCATGTGTGTGCTATTATATAAGCTATTTGGTGTATCTAAGTTTTTCAGTAGCATGACAGACAATTTTTTCTTCAAAATCAATATATATACAATGGAAGATCAATTTTAACTTAGTATATTATATATACGGTGACAATAACATATGTAAGAAATAATAAACTTGACAACAAACATGTATGGTAGAAGGTCATTTGGTATTGAAGTATTTAAGTATTCTTCTTGATAGTAATTATTGGTATCATTTTCCGCTGAGTCAAAAACAGAAAAACTTTTTGTTTTATTATAAAATTTTGCAATCAAAATTAATATTATAAAGAGTCGACTCTGCTATGACGGAATTATTCTTTCTAGATGCCTCCGGCGGAATCGAAATAATATTTCTATGTCATGCATTACTTGCAAATATCATATCAAGAGGCATGACACTGTTAGCAATAATAGCAAGTGGTGTACCAACAACAATTTTGATTGTGCTTCTTCAGACACTTGTATAGCATTTTAATTCTTAATAATATATTAATATTTTTACTTTGTGTTCTAACACTCTTTTATGGAATAAATTTATGCACCGTAAATTTTTTTAACTTGAATAAGAATGTTACTCATATGATGAATTTAAAAAATAATTGAATTGGATTCTCCTGCTAAATAAAATTAAAAAATTTAATTATTTGGTTTTAAAATAAAATAATTTATTCTATGCTGATTCATATCTTAATATTAGTTCTTCTCTTATTTTGAATATCTAATCTTAATTATAATTTTATCCACCATAAATTTTATTTTCAAAGAGTAAAATATTGATATGACATGTCACTTTTAGGTCTTTATATCTGTAGAATCATTAGTGGTATTGACTCTTACAAACCATTTTTTTTCTCTTTCTCACACATTTATATTCATAAAAAATTCCTTACTTGTTGTTTAATAATTGGGTACTTTTTAATATTACACGAAAAATTAATTAAAAAAATATTTAAGTAGAAAAATAGTTCAAATATTATATAAAAAAATATATTATCGTGAGGTTTTTTCCCCTCTCAATTTCAACTCTTTTTTCCCCTCAATTTCAACGCAATGAAATTAAAAAATTTTAGTGTTTTAAAATAAAATAAAATTATTCTATGCTGATTCAGATCTTAATATTAGTTCATCTCTTATTTTGAATATTTAATCTTAATTATAATTTTATCCACCATAAATTTTATTTTCAAATAGTTAAATAATAATATGACATTTTACTTTTAGATCTTTAGGTCTATAGAATCATTAGTGGTATTGACTCTTACGAACCATTTTTTTCTCTTTCTCACACATTTATATTCTTAAAAAATTTCATACTTGTTGTTTAATGGTTGGGTATTTTTTAATATTACACGAAAAATTGATTTAAAAAATATATTATTTGAGTAGAAAAATAGTTCAAATATAATATAAAAATATATTATCGTGGGGGTCCTTTTTCCCCTCAATTTCAACTCTTTATGCGGCCCAATAAATTATTTTTTTGTATTGGACATTATGGAGTGATAATGTATTGCCAATACGGAGGATTCTGATGAAATTCATTTTATTAAACCTTCATACATATTCTTAGTAAGTATTTAATAGACCAAATTTTATTAATTTTAAAATATTAAATATTAAAAATTAGCATAGAAGGTATTGTAGTCCAAAAAATAAGTTATTGCAGTTATGTCCTTTTCCAATGAGTTCTTCCGTTTAATATTTTAGGACTACTTTGGTATATTAATATTGTATTTATGCTTTTATAATAATATGGGCTCTCTTTTTTCTAAACGGATTTGGGCAATATATACATTCTCAAATTAAATTAGTAATAGGACATTATAATAATTTTCAAATTAAAATAGTAATATAAATTTTTAAGAAGTATATCCTAAAAGTAATAGGTTTACATGGCTATAGATATTTACTTGTTCAATTTTGTATAAGCGTGACGGCCCGAAAGTAATTATTATACTAATAGGATTCCTAACGTGTAGTATTATGTCCTAAAACTAATAGGATTATAAGGCTAATATCTAGAATACCGGTTATGTCCTTTTATTATGAGTTAATATACTTAATACTATAAGGTTATTTTTGTAAACCGACAAGTTAGGTTACTTATCATTAGGACATGACATTAGCTTGGAGTCACGATATAATTTGTAAATTTTTTTATTTACTTACTATATTTCAAAATACATGAAAATAGAAATAAGGATAGATTAATCTTGGTATGTGCATTGTGTATGTACCCCATCAATAACTATTCAATTTTGAAAACTCAAGTAAACTTTACATTAAAAAACATGTTTGATTTATGAGATGAAAAGTAAATAAAATTTTCTGTAAATGTTAAATGTTGATTCTATTTAAATAATTAAGGATAGAAAAAATCATGGAGATCAAACAACAAATAAAATAAAATAATTTTAAGACTAATTTTAATTAAAATCGACATAAAATGCAACAACTTTTATGAATGAACTATATTTTGTTCAAAGTAAAAAAAAAAAGTCCTTCAATTTCTAATATAAATAAAGAAGGTAAAATATATATACTATTATTCATTTTTAAAACATTGAGTCAAAGTGAACTCTTGAGTTTATAATCTTTCAAATTTTTTAACTCCAAATTTTTTCCAAGCCTTTCCATACGTTAGACCAAACTCTCTATATTCTTCCAATACAAGGTTAAATTTAATATTTTTATTTATGAATCTTACCTAGTTCAATAAGGAAAGATTTAATAATCCAAATTTAGTTAATTTTAAAGTCCTAAATATTAGCGTGTAGTGTTCTGTCCTAAATCTAATAGGATTATAAAGCTAATATCTAGAATTTCGGTTATGTCCTTTTATTATGAGTTATTATACTTAACATTATAAGGTTATTTTTGTAAACCAACATTGTATTCATGCTTTTATAATAATATAGATAGCACCGACAGAAATCACTTTACGTTATACAGAATGGAATCTCTGTTTAAAACTATTTTTATCATGCCTTTTCCTTTCACCTTCTTTTCTGATTGCATCAAAGGGAGGTTGAAATTTTTTTGTTTTTTTTTTGTTTTTTTGGTTAGTAGCGTAAACACAAACAATAAAGGAATAAGCTTTTTTTTAATTCTCAAAATTCAAGAATCGAGATTCCAACTTCTATGATTTTCATAGACTGAGTAGGAACATTTTAATGATTATTAAATTCTTATTTATTAGACTAGCCATCTATCATCTATCGGTCTGCCTACTTTCACTTTAGGGTAGGTAACAAAGGAGAGTGCCATGGGAAAATCATCTTAATTTTGTGTCGAAAAGCCAAATCAAACTACGCCGCTATGGAAAAAAATTCCTGTGCTGCGTCTGTTTGGCATTTTTCAGTGTCACAAAGTGTTTCTGGAAAATTTCCATCAATACTTTTCATAGCCAAATCGCAGAACTCCAGAGTAGAATCATACGAGGTGAAGCAATTTATTCTTGCTCACTGCCTGACTGCAGCAATGAGGGTATTCAAAACCATTGATCTAAAAACAATAAAGTTATCGACTCAGAGATCCTCACTCCTTTACATACTAAATGTAGTTGTTCACATTTATAAGTCCGACTACAAGATCGTAAGATATTCGCCTTCAATTTCATTTAATCGGTTTATAGGCTACACCTGATTGTTCATGACAAAAAATCTGAAAGTAATAAGCTAAAGAAAGAACAGATCCTACACAGGAAAGACCATTCTCTTTCCATGTCAACTCAGTTTGAGAAAATCACGGCACAAAACTTTTTAAGTTACAAATTGCCCACTCAAAACTTCCTCAGTTCTCGTGCAGAGCCTTCATCAGATATAGTCTACTGAAGCTTTGTCCCGCAACACTGCAAACCGCATACAAACATGTTCATGATCAGAAGAACGAAAATTACAGGAGAACGAAGAACAAGAATTTATAAATGGAAGTCCTAAATCTTGGTTGTCAAATGAGAAGCATTGGTAACAAAAGTGACCAACAGAATTGAAAGCACGCCACTTATTTTATCTAACCAATAATTCTTTATAGTACTTTGATCTGACCAACAACCTCTACGTAATTTGGCAGCTGCCATTCAGAATACCAAGTAATTGTTTGCACAATCAACAAATTGGTCTAGTTCCTCCGAGAGCTAATTTCCATTGCACCAAAAAGAACACCAAGCGTCTAAAAAGATTTGAAAATGTTAAACACATCCATCAGGTAAAAGTTTCTGGCCTCACATTCCTATACTCGTGTATTCCTATTATAAGAGTTCTCTACTTCTGTTTTTCTTTTTTATATTTTTTAATCTTCTCTTGGAGGGGGTGAGTTGATGTTGGCAGAAAATTATAGAGAACTCAGATATGCATACCCATACCAAAAACCGACGTAATATAGGGGACAGGTGGACATCTTAGTTTATCCTCAGTGGTCACGGATAATGCAACAAAAATCCATATACTAATGCAAAAACCCCATTTGCAATGCCACACCGCAAGACGGGCTGCCTTGATCTACTAAAATACATCCAGAGAAAACGATCTCTCTATACGTGTGCGTATGTGTGAGGGCAAAATTTTAAAAACATGAAGCACTCAAGGTCCATCATTTTCCCCGGAAAAGAAGAGATCAGATAAGGGTCAGCATAATTCAGCATCATGTGTCAAATTCAGATATAATGGAACACAATAACACTCAAGATGGTAACTTACCCATTAATCTGGTTGCAGTAGTTTGCTATTTGATTAGTTATGAGAAAGCTATCCAACCGTGAGGGCTCTGGAAGTGGCTTAAAGATGGGATTAGAGGGGTCCTCCTCTGGCAGAGGTTCTTCTCCTGCAGCTTTGCGTGCATTGTTATCAGACCTGTAAAGGACAGAAGCCAGAATTAGATGGACATAATTAGATATAAACAAGGACCTCTGACTAGACACCATGATTTGCAAACTTTACCAGAGCATAGCTCGGCAAAAGATTCAACCTTGACTACAAGGTAGATTACAAGCATTTAAGGATCTAAACAGCAGATTCCATTTTCAATTTGTGGCAATGCTCAAGACCTTTCTCCTTCCTATCCCTAAAATATAATTGTCTGCTAAAGTTGTCCAATAGTATTTCCTGAAGAGCCAAATCTATTCCATCTCAGGAAGTGTCAGACTCTAACTTCTTAACCTTTTATTGCATATAAATTAAGGCAGGAGCTGTCTTGTTGAGGCCTGATCATCAAGTCATGTTAAGCTTACCCCAAAACTGTAGTAACCCTGATTAGACATCATGATTGCAAACTTTACCAGAGCATAGCTCGGCAAAAGATTCAAGCTGGACTACAAGCATTTAAGGATCTAAACAGCAAATCCCATCCTCAATTTGTGGCAATTGGTCAAGACCTTTCTCCTTCCTATCCCTAAAATATAATTGTCTGCTAAAGTTGTCCAATAATATTTCCTGAATAGCCAAATATATTCCATCTGCGGAAGTGTCAAGACTCTAACTTCTTAACCTTTTACTGCATATGAATTAAGGCAGGAGCTGTCTTGTTGAGGCCTAGATCATCAAGTCATACTAAGCTTACCCCAAAACTGTTGTAACCCTTCTTTCAAAATGACCTAAAAAAGTGACTACTACTTTTTTGTAATAAGGTTAATGAAGTATGTCAAAAATGACAACTACTTGAATATGCCCAAAAAAAAAAGATACCTCCTCTTTTGAAGCCAAGCTTGCTGCTGAGCTTGTTGACGAGAAAGATTCCGGTAATAGAATTGGAACTGCATATAAAGTGTTAATCTTAGTGAACCATCACTCGTATATGAATGCAGGAAAGCGAAAGATTGAACTTAGGAATAGGAGAGACAAACCTTCTGCTGTTCCATTGACAAGTCATCCATGCATTCAATCAAAAATTCCACATTCCTCTCCAAATATGGATTGGTTGACAATTGTAGCCGTTCATAATCACACTGACACACAAAAAAAAGAAAATCCGGGTTAAAGTTTGCCAACATATACGGACATTCGAGTATTCTGCCAAATTTCAGTTACATTACCTGAGTTACAGGTGTATCAGGCTCAAGTTCAGTCATAAAGGCGCTAATGAGTGCAGAATTTGAAACTTTTATCTGTCAAAACAATAGGAAATTAACTTCAGCAATGAAATAGAAGACTTTTCCAGAGTTCCTGACCTAGGTACTATGTACTTTTACTAACACCAGGCAGGCAGGATCACTGCATGGTGTTACTCAAAACAATGTAAAATTCCAAGAAATAGCATGGCAAAGCAGAGCATGTAAATATCAAATCTAATCTTAAAAGGAAGAAGAATTTTTTTCAAAAATCAGATAAAAGGAAAAAAGGCTACTAAATCAGAACTATATCTCAAACAACTTGTCTTCAAATCAATACATAACATGCAAAATGGTAACAGGCTATGAAGCAGCAGAAAGATAGTGTCCACATATGATGACATAAGTGCCAAAAGTAAACAGGATAAGGAAGCATTAGAAGCATACTGGTATCTCTTCAAAGATGTCAACCCATGAAAGATTCTTTTCTCTCAACCTACAACAGTAAAACAATATCAGCAATTACAATTTGTTTACTTTTACTTCAATGGTACCATAAGCATACTTCTCTTGAGAGGGAAAGATAAAAAGGAGCAACTCAAGAATAAACATACTTTTCTCCAGTAAAATTGTTACTCTTGTAGAGTTCCATGAAAGAGTCCGAAAGCTTCAAGGCTTTCAAAGCTAAGACACCTTGGTTGGATCTTGAAGGATCATAGATTATGCAGACACAACGTTTTATATTCTCCTGCAATCACAAACATCATAGAGTCTAAGTACAATAAATTATTCGGATATATAGCTACTAATTAAAAATAAATAACGCAAATAACCAAGCCAAAATATAAAATACAATTAATATTTAGGAGAATACCAGTAAGAGAACTTTTTATTTACAGTATAGAGTGTTTCATCTTTCAAACGATTAACTAAAGCTTGTGACATTTGACTTTGAAATCTTTTTTCACAGATGTTTAATCTTAGTGGGTTGGGTTTTCCCTACTAGAGAACCAGCAGGAGATTAGTACTGAAATGCAGAGCGATGAAAGCTCATTTACGCTAGAGGCAACGTGAGCGCGAGCCCTAGACACCACCATTACCCCCAAAAAAAAAGGTTCATAAAGCTAGAGATTTTACTCCAGCAGACGTTGGAGTGGCCATAAAGCAGCTATTTCATTTTGGTTATGGATGACCACTTTCTATTTCTTCCAAATTCACATTTGCTAAACTTTGAAATTCAAACTTGACTCTTTTTTTAGTCCAATTCCATGAGCTTTTCCTCATCCTTGCCTATCAAAAAGGTCACTCCCCTCATAGGTAAATATCTTTACATATTCCTTATTCATTAAAGGCTAACAACAAAATAACCAATTTCCATTTGCTCTTTGACCAGAGCAAACAGCTACTAGTTATACTAAAATATGTTGTCGGTGTGATTCACCCACTAAATTTTGAGTCTTAAGCTGCAAAGACACTTCAGGGTACTAGTCTTGCAAATCGGCAGATCATTTCCAGGATACATAGGTTTTTCAGGCATAGAGCCCTAGTGTTTAAACTTTAAACCAAAAGGGTACAACAGTTTTCGCAAATCTTTCTGGGACGCCTTGGAGTCTTAGGACTTATTTAGGATCCCTCTAAAAGTTACTTCTCCCTTCTCTTCTTAGGGCCAGCAGTATATCTTAGGTCACTGCAGACACTATGACTTTTCAAGTGAAATGTACTAGCATATTCGAAAAGCTCCATCAGTAATTCGGAAAAACTCAATTTGGGGCGGGTATAATTAACAAAGATCTTATGACAGAAAAAGAAAGCATCAGACTGCTGCACTTTGCAAAATTTTGAACTGGAAAAGGTATACTAATAAACATGCCAAGAGAAAATCAAAAAAAAAAAAAAAAAAAAATTCTGTAGTAGCAACCAAATATCCATACCCCAGTTATCAGCACAGAAACAGAACCAAAAGGAAGAATAACTTCACCGCCGGAAAAAAAAAACAGGTTCAGAATCCAACAAAGAGATGGAGAAGGATACCTGGTAATTCATGAAGGTCTCTATCAGTTCCACAGTCTGGAAAGAACCAAATAAAGTTGATTGATACCTGGAAAATACCCCCCGATGAGATTAATATTTGGGACAAATTATTAATGAGGTAAAAGTTAATATGACAATCTGTTGGAAGAAGGGACATTGCAAAAGCATTCCTTGTTACCTCATGAATTTAAAGCTAGGAGCAGAAGTATTATAATAACTTGCCCAAAAACAAAACATATTTTCTTACTTAGAAAGAAGAACCAAATGTCCTACCAAGATTAAATAGTGTCCAACAGTCAGAAAGCATCTTACCAACCAACGGTGTTGTTGTCAACATTAACCTCCCTCAGGCATCTCATCATCTCAAGCTGATAATTAGCACCCTCAGCTTCTATCTCCTCATCTTCCTCACGAACCTGAGCAAGACAGACGTGAAGAAAGCATTTGGTGACATAAATTCAAAAAGCATTTTTCTGTATAAATAAGAAGCGTGAAAGACCAGAATTCAACATACCGGAAAGGGAAAACAGTTAGTGACTTCAAGAACGCTCCCAACATCCAATCCAAGAAGTTGCCCAGTGACTAAAGCTGGTGAAAACTCCTGGCAGTGCTTTATTATTTTCAAAATAACCTGTATAACACAGTTTACTTCAGGAAAGTACACACGAACAAGGGGGTCCAAGATGCACATATACTACAAGAAGAGAGAACAAAATTTTTTTCCCACCCATATTTCCCGGTGCATGTGGCACCAAATAATTTTCTCACCCATATTCCCAGTGCTATGTGGCATCTCTAGAAACATAGCAATACAACATTAAAGGTATAGATAAATATTACCCAAGGGCTTAGCTAAAGTGGCAAAGGGTTGAGGGACTTGTGACTTAGGCCACAGGTTCGAGCCCTGTGCCAACTGAACCTGGTATTTACGTGGAGAAAGGTAGAGGGACGGGCCCATTATCGCCGAGCTTCAAGGGCTGTGGTTGGTCCCAATCCCAAGGTTGTCCTTGGACGAATTTCTCGGTCATAAAAAAAGTATACATAAATATTATTCCCTCGATACCATTTTACATGTCCTACTATCCCTTGTCATTGTACTCGTCCTTTCTCAATAGGTATAACACTCTTTATATAAGAATTCCCTAAATACATTTTTGATAAGGAAGAATACCCTAATACATATACCAATGGAACTACCAGAGTAGAGAAATATTCAAGACGTGCAAGCTAGTACAATGGCAATTTAAATAAGAGATCGCTCACTTTTCTTTTCTTTCTTTCATTTTTTCTATTTTGTTTGGGTACCTACTAACTCCCGTTAACGCACATACACTGTGTAACTCTACCCGAAAGCGGAGCTAAATAGAAGCAAGGAGGTTCAATTGAACCCCTTCGTCGAAAAAAATCTACTGCACAAATAGGGCAAAAGTAGATTTTATCGGTTAATTATGAAATACCGAATCCCTTTGATAGAAAGGTAGATTCTTGTAGTGGCAAAGTTTAAAAAGCTTTAGATCAAAGGTTCAAATCCTAAGTGTGACACTTTAAAGCTTTTTGAATCCCCGTGTATGAATTTATGGCTCCACCCCTAACTCTAGCCAACAAAGTTTAGGATGATAGAAACATTTCACCTACCGTTCTCCATCCTAGGATCTGAAACTTGGTTCGCAAGGGGGCTGCAAAGCCACCCCCTTTGGGGCAAAATATCACTCAAATTGTTTTTCCTATGAAGGTGATGTCTAGGCCAACTTGCACATATCTAAAGTATTCCACGAGGCACGTGCTAGTTGCTACCTCCCACCAGCACGGTACCAATAAAAGTTCACCAAGGCTTGGACATATGGAAAGAAATCACCTAGTGTTTTTTGCTTTCCGCTCGGATTTGATCATGAAACCTCATGGTTCAACTCACTTCACTGACCACTAGACCACACACTTGTGTGCTTCTACTTTTGAGTTGGATTTGCCAACTTGCGCATACCTCAAATATTTCATGGGCCACCTGCTACCTCCCACCAGCACAAGTACCATTAACATTGTCCACCAGAGCTTGGACATATGGAGAGCAATCACCTAGTGCTTTTTGCCTCCGCTTTGAAGCTAAGACCTCATGGTTCTCAACCCACTTTATTGACCCCTAGGCCAAACCTTGGGTGCTACTACTTTCGAGTTGGATTTCGGGGATTGTCACCAAACCAACTAGGAACTCTTCCAATTGAGCTATATACTACTTTATCTATGATTTTATTGGCTTATAATAACATAAACAGAAAGAAATAAAAGAAAGAGATAGCAGGTCGTAATACCAGTCCTTCAATCTGAACAACCCTGAGTGGCGGCGCCACAGCCTCCTCTGTAGCTGCCACTTGCAAAAACGACCGCCCTGTTGCTGCATCAAATCAAATTGAAAGGGGTTAACTGCTGAACTACACATATTGCACACAAAAAAAGTACTCTTTTAGAAGTGGAAGCAAAATTATACGTACGATTTGCCATTGACGAAATCGGGGAGAGAAATTAGGCAGAGAATTTGACTGAATGCAAAATCTTACTCTCTGCGGGAAAAAGTTCGAAAACCAAAGCCCTAATTGCTGGAGGGGTTTGTTCTTTATTTGTTGAGATGAGACGGGAGAGGAATTGTCACTAATGGGCCGGCCCATTACTGTCTGTACAAGGATTGGGCCAGCTTAAAAACTTGAGTAAAAATTGTGTGGGGTAGCCACTTTTTGAAGTGGTAAGTAGCCACTAGTCTATTAACATTAATATGAAAACGGTGTTACCTTTTTTCTATCTCTTTTCCTTCCCAAACCCTCTATCAAAATTTCAAAACCCTGCTCGATCACATACTTCAAATATATCAACTGTGATACAAAAGGGATAGAAAACAGATTTCATATCGGATGATTTGATTCATGTCATTTCTCCATAGCAGAAAATGATTTTCACTCCTATTTTTCTATCTATGATCAACCATCTCAACAACAAATACAGTTTGTTTCAGTCTCTATCGGCGACACCATTCTTCTTTCTTTAGCAACTAATTTGCAAAAATTGATCGAAAGACCAATGTCATGTTACGAAATCTTCAAGCAATTCACAAGTAATGAAAAGGTTATGTAGATTTGTCTTATCAATGTTGCATCCAAACCGAATCTGACATCAATTTTATATGTAAATTGCAATTATTATTATTATTATTATTATTATTATTATTATTATTATTATTATTATTATTATTATTATTATTATTATTTTGTAAAAAGATACAAATAACGTTTGGTTTTCTGCTACGTTATGGATCCTGAACTTACAGTTACAAGTTCAAAAGTTAAGGACACTTGTCCTAAACTTCAAGTTCCAAGTTCAAAAGTTAAGGACAATAGGTCCTGAACTTACAGTTACAAGTTCAAAAGTTAAGGACAATAAGTCCTGAAGTTCTGAACTTAGACTAACAAGCTCAAAAGTTAAGGACAATAGGTCCTGAACTTAGACTAACAAGCTCAAAAGTTAAGGACAATAGGTCCTAAACTTAGACTAACAAGCTCAAAAGTTAAGGACACTTGGTCCTGAACTTACAGTTACAAGCTCAAAAGTTAAGGACACTTGGTCCTGAACTTAGACTAACAAGCTCAAAAGTTAAGAACAATAGGTCCTGAACTTAGACTTACAAGTTCAAAAGTTAAGGACAAGTAGTCCTTAACTTAGAGTTACAAGCACAGAACTTAAGGACAGGTGGTCCTGAACTTCGAGTTCCAAGTTCAAAAGTTAAGGACATGTAGTCCTGAAGTCCTGAACTTAGAGTTGCAAGTTCAAAATTTAAGGACATGTAGTCCTGAATTCCTGAACTTAGAGTTGCAAGTTCAAAAGTTAAGGACACTTGGTCCTGAACTTATATGAGCAGAAGGTGTTTTCGTCCGGGCAGGTAAAATTTATTAAAGCAGTGGCTAAAGACTAAAGATATTCTAAACAGTGGCTTAAAAGTAAATACATGTGTTATTAGTGGCTAACCGTGCACTTCCCCCAAAACTTGGAGAAGATCTTTACACAAATAGCCTATAAACTGATTATACACGACTATGCACATTATATATGTATTATACATATATTATACATTTGTCGGCTATTTTTAGTTTAAGTGGTTGGGTGGACAGCTATTTGAGTTAATTTGTTGAGAATATTTAACCTAAATAACTGTCCACCAAAAAAAGAAAAAAAAAGGCAGTTCGGTGCAGTAAGCTCCCGCTATGCGCGGGGTCCAGGGAAGGGCCTGTCCACCAAACTAGTTAAATTAAAAATAAACGGCGAATCTATAATATATGTATAATTCATGTAAAATTAGCATAATTATGTATAATTTATGTATACATTCTAGGAAAATAAATTAATGAACCCGGTCGGCTATTTATGTAAAGATTTAAAAAAAAAATATTCTTACGTTAAATTTTTTTTTCTTTTTCTTTTTGGTTTTAATGAGATACTGTAACAAAGTACATGCAAAGTACCTAATGTTAGAGGAAGCAACGAAGTTAGATTAGACTTAATTATTGAGACTAATTGGATAGCAGAGAGTATTGTTGAATGAAACTAGTTAAAAATATCAAGTAATTTAAATTGCATAAAAACTGAGATTTGACTACACATAAAAAGAAAATAAACAAACAAATGACCATTATAAAACTTCTCATTCTATATATTTGGATATAAAACATAATTGCAATAAGTGGAAGTATTACATAAAGTTTCTCCAGGAAAGATATCAAGTGTAAATTTATATAGATAAATTTCAAAGGCATCCCTTGTAAAACGATTTAGTTAGCTTGTATCTTAGCTAGAAATCTCAGAATCTGAGATTACACAAATGAATACTTACAATACTATATATTACTATACTATATGCTTTGTAATCAAAATATCTGCTTCAATAATAGTGTTGAATTGTAGACAAAAGGAAGCCAAATCATAGCTCAGTGTGAACATTGTATTCTTCAATTTTCTGCTCAATTTTCTTATCAGATGAGTTGAGACACTCCGCTTCTGGATGAACGTAGCCGGCTATAATGCCTGTCGCGGAGTTGCAGTATACTTCAGCTGTGCCATCTCTACCCTCTAAGTTGACATTGTCCAGGGTAATGTGGCTGCAGGGCACGGTGTCACTACACGCGAATTTCATCGCCTTTTGGCTCTTTGATGTCCCACTAATGTTGCGATACATTACTTCACTTATCTCAACTGCAGATGTCTACAATGTCAAATTAAACACACTTTGTCATACTTCGTGTAGGACTTGCAGGTTCGGCCAAATCCAGTAACTTTGGTCCGAACTCTGTATTTGTCTTAAAAAAATCACTAAATATGTATAAATTGTTAAGTTAAAACCTAGTAACATAAATGAAGTAGAATCCCCGAACCTACAACCTTCAAATCATGACTTAGCCTCTGCCGAAGCACGCAAAAGTTAACTTAAGAACTATGGCTATGTTGTACCTGATTATGGCAAGGTTTTTGTGAGTCGCAATAGAATTGATCGATGATGATTGGGTTTGAAACATCTTCCATCCTTACATTTTGGAAGCGGACTGTTCGAACATAACCTGATCCTCCCTATGAAAATTAAGGACTTCACATCAGTCTCCCTATAGAAACCAAATTCAATTATGAACAAGGAAAAGGAAACAACGTCTTGCAGAAATGCAGGGTAAGGTTGTGCCTGCGTACAATAGACCCTTGTGGTCCGGCCCTTTCCCGGACCCCCCGCATAGCGGGAGTTTCATGCATCGGGCTGCCCTTTAACTAAGGTTATAACAAGAACTTGTACCTGCCATGTCTTGATCCTGAGGCCATTTGTGGTACCTTTGAGGAATGCAGTATCCAGTACTACCCTTGTCACTATGCCGATAGAGTCGTCCTTACCAAGGCTCCCAATGCTGGGCAAAGATCAATCATGTAACAGAATCAATTGAGGGAACATAGGTTAGAAAACAACAGGAACAACAACTACTCCTCAACCCCAAGTCTGGATAAAGGAGGAGTATTTCCGTAGGCTAACAGTCAGCGAAAAACTAGTCAATTTATGATGAATTCTCACAATAAGTTAGAACAATACTTCAGCTAATTCTTACATACTTGTTCAGCACTGATTCAACTTATGTGAAATAAACTACCTGATTCCATGGCCAGGACCACAGTGGATTGTCTTCATCTTGATATTGGAACTAGCATTGACGATTGATATGCAGTCATCGCCTACATATCAAAAACAAGTTAACCATATTCATTCTTTCACCGCAAAACACACATTATATATGAAATTTGCTGAAAAAAGTACATTCCATAGTTTTGCATGTACATTATATTGTGCAAGCAGATCGGTCTTTTAAATTGTGAAACTAATGATGTTGCAACTTTTTTTAATGTCAGGGAATTGACGAGCCTCACTACCTCCACGAGGTAGGGGTAAGGTCTGCGTACACACTACCCTCCCCAGACCCCACTCGTGGGATTATACTGGGTATGTTCTTGTTGTTGTTGTTGTTGTCAGAGAAACAAGGTGAACGGAAAGTAGATAACACGACATAAAGAGGGATAGTGTGGAAACCTGTCCCGATTTTGCAGTCCTGGAGCACAACATTTGTTGATTCACTTATATGGATTCCATCGGTATTAGGACTATCTCCAGGAGAAGAAATCATAATGCCATTTACACGTACAGAATCCGATCGAGAAATGACAAAATGCATCTGTTGGCTATTTTGGAATGTAAGGCCCTTCACCCTTATACCTGAACTTGAGTCTATAGTTAATGCCTGCAATTCGAAGTTTCTCGTCAGTTTATCAAGCTAACAAGATAAGACTAATAAAACAAAGAGTCAAGACTATAAGAATTAAGTCCTTACCCTTGGTGCTGCTTTACAAGGCTGTTATCAACACACAAAAAAACAAAGAAAAGAAATAGTTAGAACATCACCACAAAAAAGTTGTCTGTCAAAAGAGGCGCGAATCTAGGATTAGCAGTTAGTTGGTTCAAAATGAGTGTGATAACAACATATATGTACTTTTTTTTTTTGGCATATGTAAACATAGTCGAGCAGAAAGAACCGTCCTAGATCTGCCTCTGTCTGTCAAAAAATTAAACGAAAAGAGCGTGTTATATGGCTTATCGTGTATGTTACATTGGTCTTGTTCTTCTTGCATGATGCTGCCCACCATTTGCTGCCTGATCCATCAATAATTCCATTTCCTTGGAATGTAGTTCCTGTCAAATTGTTGAACACAAGCCAAGCTTTTGGACTCTTCGGATCCCAGTTCTCAGGATCGCTTGGCGCTACTATGGTTCCATCAACCTGGTATATACAAGAAAACATTTTCAAACCATTAATTTGCCCTTTCGATCATTTATATTTTTTGAACGATAGTTCAGTTACTTTACTGTGATAGAAATAGTTTTGTAACTTTACTATTATAATGGATAAAATTCAGCGACATTATATGAAAATTAACCACAGGATTAAAGTAATCACCTGGATGATCAATCTGTTGGCACAAGGCCCGCTGAATCTGGTTGCATTCACTAGATAAGTGCGTCCTGAAGGGACCAAGA